AAACTCCTAATTTCACGTTTTAGTTCATACACCCTCCCCCCCCCCATTTACAGACAGATTTATGAGTTTAATTCATTTGTCTTACTTTATATACTGCCATCAGAAAATGTGCCGTGATGAATTAGGGAGCGATTGAAGAATCACATATGGCTTAAAACCAAGTACTGCCAGCAAACGAGTCAAACTCCTAGGTGAATCAGCTCCACTTTTCGTAGGCAGATCCATGGGCCTCTGCTTCTGCTCAGGTGAGCTCACTTGCTATTAAAAATCCATATGTTAGTTTAACTTCTACAATTAAAGAACATGAACCTGAAAGGACTTCTGAGAGACTAGAGGCGGTTCAGTACTCTCAGAAAATGAGTTAAGTTTCTAGAATGAAAATAACTTGGGGTTCACACATCTTCACCTATAGTGGGTAGGTTTCGGGACCTGCGCTTCTGTCCCTGTGAATCTTCACTCACGTATCATTCCAAATTCAGATGCTAGTTTCAATTTCAGAAATCAGTTTCGCCCCAAGGTTATGTGGGCTCATAACAAAGCACTGTCAGGAGTCAAATTTCTGAGAAAAAAACTAGTTCTTCTGTCGACTAGTTGGAAGAGGTGGAGAGGAATGAGTTGCAATTTTATAGTTCAATGTCTAGATTTCTAAGACAGTAAATGACCGCCGCGGTAGAATTCTGTACATTAGTTATGCTGCCGTCGAACTTTCGCAGCGGGCATTCAAAAAATGGTTTATCCTCGACCATTCTTTGCGAACGAAGCCCATGCCAAGGGGTTCTGTGGACGGGTTGAAGATGAGGTCTTTGTTATGGATGGCTGTAGCATCGTCCCCCGTTCCCATCGTAAGTAGCATAATTTCAGGCGTCCAGTCGGTGGCTCTTCGAGGACAAAATGGATGAGAAGCTGGCGATTTGCCTCAATGGTCTGTAAAACATGCCTTTTAGCTCCAAGGGAGGTGTATGGGTTCAATATATGCCACAATCGGTAGCCAATGAGTTTGGGTTGACTTCCGGGTTCTCGTTATGATTCGCATTACTTCAGTGAGCTGTTTGTCTGCTGTGCTCGATGGCAGCTGTAGCTCCAAGATAGAGTATACAAGTGCCAGGGCCGTGCGTGGTAAGCAACACTCAGGTACCTGCATCCCGAGAGGTTCCGGCAAGTTTGCGCAACAGATTTGTCCCCGCCTTGGTCTCCTGCTGTGTCTTTTCAAACTATGGCTTAAACTTGAGCACTTGAGCTATGATCAGTAATGTATAGTATTGCCTAGATACTTTGGCGTCATTTCATGCAGCACGTGTTAACCACGTGTTACTAAATCAACTCTGAGTAGCCTTCACTGGTGAAAATATTGCATCAGATCAGCGAGGGCAGCGTGAGCACGCAACTTGACTTCCGCAGATCGGTATTTTCGGTTGTTAGGGCGATATCATCCACGTAAACGAACTTCTTCGATGCAGTTGGTGGGAGGTGGCTGGTATAAGTGTTAAACAGCGGTAGAGAGAGAACTGCACCTTATGGTGAGAGCCCTGTGTCAAGTGTCCTTTCCTCGGTGACCCGCCCATCGCCATGAACCCGGTTCAGACGGTCGCTCATCATGGTTATGAAAAGGCAAAGAATTTCCTGACACCTTGTTACTGTAGCAATTTCGTACATGAGACCCTTCAAGCCAGACCATATCATAAGCTGATAATAAGTCGATCAGAACCACTCATGCTTTTTATTTCCCTTAAAACCCTCGTAAACGAAGACAATTGCTCGCAACAACTG